GATATGTGGGATATGCATATTCTTAATGAACTTTGAGTGAAACCTTTTGGGGGAAAAGAGGGAGAGGCAGAGCGGGCAGGGGGAGAAGGGGGTCGTAAATGGGCGAGGAGAGAGGTGTTGTTTGCTCTCTTTGAAGATTTCTTCTCCAGATAAGTTTTATTGTTTTATTGCATGGCGTCTGTTTTGTGTGAGTTCCTGAGTATTGGCTTCATGAAGAGTTAATTTCATAAGGAAATAATTTCACTCCTTTCACTGTGTTTGCTGAAATGGCTCAGTCTGATCCATTTTGTACTTTTAATGTTTTACAATTTGGCCTTTACAAAATGGCAAGTAGTTAAACGAGTGTTATTGTGCCTTTGAATGGAAGCAAAAAAAGTTGTGAAAGGTAAATGGTAACAGGGTCATTCAGTCATGAAAAAATGTAAATATTTTCATTCAAAAGAACATTATTTATCCGAAATATAATAATTTTGTAACTATGTAAAAGTCTTTACTGTCTATTTGTACATACACAAACACACACACACACACACACACAATCACACACACACACACACAAACACACACACACACACACACTTTAGGTGGAATATGATTTTTTTTTCTAATCAGAAAATCATATTTTGTAAATTAGATTCAGATTATTAAATTCTGATTAGATATGGACTATTTAAACTAAAGGACATTTATCACGAAGTGTCGTTGCTCTGCCTTGAGGTAACTGAACTACACTTGACAGATTGAATCTGCAATCTAAAGTGAGCATCTGAGCAAGCCCATTACATATTTATATTTTTCAGTGTTTGTCATGCACACCCTGCATTACCATTACTAGAGGAATCAAATTACAGTCAGTCTCAAACAACTGAATGTGTGGAAGTGATGCTGCGATTCAACTTCCCAGATGACGTGAAGGAGGAAACTTCACAAAGGTAGACAGATACTCCATTCTGTGAAGAACATCAAAGCACAATGAATAAGAATTCAACAACCAACGAACATTAAACTACACATCAGCCTGCCTTTTTATGACATCAATGGATGTATTTCTTCCTTTTTATGGGGAGCTGTATAATATGGCAGCCATCCAGACTTTGATGGAAGAGCGATTCCATTTTTCTCATTGTCTTTTTTTATGTTTGATCATATTGCAGTGTTTTGTGAGAATCCCAGTGTGACAGGGTCTACTGGACAGAACATGGAAGTTCATACTTTGGTTCCCATGGAGACCATGTTCTCTGAAAGACATGTGGAAACGAAAAGGAATTCCATGGTGCCATAAAATGAGCCAGGCATTTGTGTGTGCTTTCATTTTTCCTCAGCTACAGGGGGGGTAAATGGCAAAAATCCTTTCTAAATCAGAGGGTCAGGGAGAAAACAAGTAGGCTGTAGTCGTGTAGATTTTCTTATCCCAACTTGATTTGTGGCTGCTCTATGTCAGTGTAATAACGTCCACGGTGTTTTCTATTCTAGTCACTTGCCTGGCTCTGTGGTGCATTTACATAGAAATTGCATTGGCCGATGTTTTTTTTTCTTTTCTTTTTTTTCTATTTAATGGCACACTGTTTAGTGCTGCTGCAGGAGTCTAAAGGCGTCGGGGATGATGGTGGTTGGAGTGCACTCTAAGAAAAGTCTGTAAAAATAAGGCACAATGTACTGTGTTAATGTAAAGGAATTTTCCGCATCGATTTTTCTGTTTTTTCCCAAGTGTTTTACCCATATTTTGAATTATGCATTGCATTGTGTTGTGTTTAGGGTTAAAGAAAATATTCGTAAACTTGGATAAATGGATAATGTCCCTGCAGAAATTCACCAATTTTTTGCTTACAGTGTGGGAGTCTCTGTCTATGACTGTATAAATTAAAAGTACATTTAAAAAATGAATAATTCTTTCTATTACTATGAGAGTATATTGCTATTTATATTTAAACAGAGTAATTATGGTTAATTATCCCTTTTAATCATTAGAAACTAATTATGCAACGAACTAGGGCCGATGCCGTGGGTGCAATTTCTGGGCGTACTTTCTGTTCTAACAATAACTTTGCAGAAAAAAGCAGTGTGTATATGTGAAAAGTGCTTAAATAAAATCACGCCGTTAGTACTGTTATTGATAGTCCTATGGATGATTCGAATCAGATTCAATTTTGATTCATTTGGGTAGGCTATATTTCATTTTTCTTACACATGAAATTCTCTCTCTCCCTTTATAGGCCAGTGTTTCCGACTGAAATACCAGCAACTTGGTACTATTTATTAAAAGAACCAACATAAAGAGACATTCCTTTCTAAATTGGACTAAACAGATCATGCTGTTTTGACACCGGCTTAAAAGAGCCATTAGTTTTTGGAAATCTGACTACATTGTTGCTGTTGCATGTTTTGACACTAAAGAACTGGCTCATAGGAGTAGTTTGCTTGTGAATGAGATACACTGGTCATACTGTATGTTTTAGAGTCATTTGTTCATGACTTGGCGTACACTGGGTTGTGCTGTGTATTTTTAATTCAGTACTACTGCTGTTACAGAGTTAGTTCAGCAAAACATAGCGACACTTGCATGATGGAAACTGCTGTACAAAACAACTACTGAAAATAGACAGTAAATGATACATTTTGGAATTTTAGCAATCAAATTTATTTTTTATATGAAACTTTCATAACATAGTTTCATAATAGTTTTTTTTCTCTCCATACTTTTGTTAGTATAACTAAATTATTTTTCTGAAAGACGCAGTGCCACTTTTTTGGAAGTGATAAGATCAAGACCGAGAGTATGTGAAGCATTTTATTAGATGATAATGTTAGGTTGTCATCCCCACGGACGTTCCACCTGTTACAAAATGCGAAAAGCCACATACTGATTGGAGCGACTCCCAGTTTTCCTGGTGTGCTCACTAGCACAAAATAATCAAAGGCGGGACCGACATGTCCTCGCCAGCTCTGCTGTCCTTCTGGAGGCACAGACACAAATATGCACATACGTACTCATTCAGGGCCGGCCGGAGTCTCTCAGGATAGGCATACGATGCTGGGGGAGCTGCTGAAAGGTCATTGCGGATAATTGTGTTAGTTCCTACTGTGCACCTCAATGCCACTGAGGACTGATGAAGACCAGAGCACTGCCAGAGCATGCATGCTTATAGGGCCCGGAGTGTGACCAGTTCTCACTAGCTTTGCGAGTTTAAAGCGAGAGAAAGAGGGAAAATATGGACAGAACAGAAGGGAATTAAATAAAGAGATTATTAATTTACAAAACAGCATGGAGGTGGAAGTAAAGGAATAGTGCATACAGAAATGAAAATTCTGTCATCATTTACTCACCGTCATGTTGTTCGAAACACATCATCATATCCCAGAGCTTTCGAGCTTCAAGGATGCAAATACACTGTAAAAGTAGGCTATACAACTCGTGCACAATGTTCCAAGTTTTACAAAGTAATGCGAGTTATTGTAAGAAACAAACTAAAATTCAAGTTTATATTCAATGTCAATATTCAAGTTGGTGAAATATGAGAGGTCTGTCAGTGGATCAACAGCTTCCTGACAGACAGGCAGCAGCTAGTGAGGCTGGGAAAATACACATCCAGCACCCGTATAATCAGCACTGGAGCTCCTCAGGGCTGCGTCCTCTCCCCACTGCTCTTCTCCCTGTATACCAACGACTGCACATCTAAAGACCCCTCTGTCAAGCTCCTGAAGACCCCTCTGTCAAGCTCCTGAAGACCCCTCTGTCAAGCTCCTGAAGACCCCTCTGTCAAGCTCCTGAAGTTTGCAGACGACACCACACTCATCGGCCTCATTCAGGACGGTGACGAGTCTGCTTACAG